GTGCATAAAATGAAGGTTTAAGTAGACAATGATTTTAGGGTTTCATGTCTCACATATTATGTTCACAATTGCAATTCCACAATGCAAGGTAGACCTTAGTTTTGAAGGCACTGCTAATAAAATAATACACGCTTACATGGTGAGCAATTTCATTAAGGTTATAGTTTATAAAAAATTATATAATTTTTTAGTTTAGGTAGCAGTTAGCAGTGGACATGGTGCGTACTTCTTCTACTTTTCTGGGTTGATGCATGAAATTACTGACGTTGCAATATAGCAAATTATATACTTACATTATTCTTGATCCTGCTGGATAGACTTGGAGGGTAATTAGAGTTAATTCTATGTGCAGCAACATGTCCTGCATGCAACTATGGAAAAGCTGCTTTCTACCAAGTGCAAATTCGGTCGGCAGATGAACCAATGACAACATTTTACATATGCAAGAGGGAGACTTGCCGAAATCATTGGCGTGAGGAATAGAGCTCTTACTTTGCAAGCTTATAGGCTCTAAGCTCTATAGATTTGGTTTGGTTCCAATAAAACCTTTTGCTATGTAATCTGGTTTAAAACATTGCGTTTAATTCATCAGTTTCCAGAATACTACTGGAGAAAGCACAATTTTGTTTTTGAAATGTAACGAAAATATTGTCACATTTCATGTCGCTGTTAATGAATGGCGGGTTTTGACTATGAAGTTGTCTAAACTAACAGTTGGGGCATGTAATTCCTAAACAAGGTACGAGAAACAGGCAAAAGATCTCATTGCCTCTGGCTCTCGGATGTGAAAAGCTTGGAGATCATGTTAAAGAGTCTTCTTCTTATCTTCATCTCCACCCTGGCGCCCTCTTACGCTCGAGGGTGTCGAAAGGCTATCTTGTGGATTGACATTTACGATCAACAAAAACATCTGCACCGAGATTTCAGAATAAGGATGAGCAAATGCAAAACAAAGATGATGAAACTTATTTGGATGATCCATATTGACAAGAACAAGGGAATTGTGTCATGAACATCAGCTAAAATTCCTTCATACAGCAACTATTGAGTTAATAATCTAAATTATCTGCCGACTCGTTCATTGAACTCTTAAATACAATAATTGCGATCGATACCATTGCCTTATCAACAATCTTGACATGAAGACGCAACCTTTATAAACAAAAACACCATTGATCGTAACTAAATTTATTAATCTCGGGTAACAGTGAAATGTGCCCATTTGCTTGATTAATTCTTTGTGGATTTTTGCTGAAATTGATCAAATTTTGGAAAAAAAATGCAGGCTTTGATTAATTCTTTGTGGGATTTTACTGAAATTGATCAAAATAAGCAGAAATGCAGGATCTGATTAATTTGATCAATTTGCAGAAATGCAGGTCTTGATTAATTCTTTGTGGGGGTATTTTCTAAAATGTCTAATTTCATGGGTGACAATTGAAAAATGTCCACTTTTTAAATTTAGCACTAAACTATCTATTATGTCCTTAATGAAAAAAAAAAAAGCAATTTATTTATTTTTTCAATTTGTTGCGAATTTTGAGAAGTAGATTCCATGCGAAGCTACATCAAAATGATATTATCGATATTTCAAATGGCATTCTCGATATTTGAATCCCATTTATATTTTAAAAATACACAATGTCAAATCACAATATTAAATATTCTTGACATTTTAAATATCTAGAATGACATTTCATTTTGAACATGACATTTTTCTGCACTTGAAATGTAATTCTCGACGTTTCTGTGTCAATGAGAAAAATAGCATTAATTGTGATTTGACATGTGTACTTTTGAAATAAATATGACGTATTATGTGTCAAAATTTTAATGACCAATAAATTTTTTGCAAAAATGTCCATCTCTTGTCTCTGTGTGGAATCATAAATTGTTCACAGGGATATTTTGGTCCAAAATGGACATTTTTGCAAAAATTCGTGAAAGTGGACATTTTTGCAAATGAACATGTGAAAGTGGACATTTCAAGTAATTTCCTCTTCTTTGGGGGGTTTACCGAAATTGATCAAAATTTGCAGAAGTGCAGGCTCCGATTGATTCTTTGTAGGTTTTTAATTTCTACTAAATCGATCACGATTTAAAAAAGGCTGGCCTTCTTTCAAGTGCATGCAGAAAAAGTGATGATAAATTATACATTGAAAAAAGCTGCTATTTGATTCTTCTTGTTTCCATTTTAATCATTAATTGTGCTTTATTTTCTGTTATTTCCTTGTCTATATTTATCTTCTTGTTTGAATTTCTGTTGCCTTTGAAATGTTCTCTTATATAAAATCTGATCTTGTCTCAGAACTCAAAATCTTGTATGGCCATACTCGCAACAGAACCCAACCACCTCTCCTTCCACATCTATATTGCCATGTTGTAGTCTGGATTTCTAATTTGATGACGGTCTACTATCCTGGAATTGAGAAATTACTGTATCTTATTTCTGTAATTGTCTACAGGATAAATTGATAACACGATTCATTTATCCAGATATTCTGAACTGCATAATGCATTGAAGTAAATTTCTAGTAAAATTGGCTTGGTGGTCATAAGCGCTCATCTATATTTGGAACATTATGATTTCTACCGAACAAGAGAATCCCCCTCCCCATCGTTTTCTTGATGCTAATTAGTACAATCGATATATAATTAGCCCAACTTTCTGAAAGTTTCTTCAGAATAGTTTGTCCTTTTTACTGTACAGTATCTGAAGTTGCAAAGCTAAAAAACAACCACGAACCACTAATAATGATAACTCAGACCTTCTGAAGGGTCTTCATTGTCGTATCTTCCTGGTTTCCTTGACTAGGCTGCTTTGGATTCTGTTGGTTTTGGCTTTGTTTCGACTTCTTTGTACTGTCTTCTTCAAATTCGGCTTTGTTGGCAAGTTCATTTACGGCTTCCACACTCTTTTCAATTCTTGAAGCAACTTCTATCAGCAATGTGGACATGGAAACTATTGGAACAATCTCCATGAGAGGTACTATGGTAGAACTTTCGTCTCCCTCTTCTGTGCTATGTTTGGAGTCTCCAATAATAGGTTGTTCGGACAGGGATTTCAGGGCGCCTTGAAGTTCTTGTACTGCATTGTTCATCTCATGTACCATGAGATCAATCTTTATCGATTTTGTCATAGTATTCATAATAACTGCCAATTCTTTTAACACATCCGAGGAACTAGAGCTTAATCTTATGCAATACTTGCTGAAAAGTTTCTTTAGGGTATTGGGCGCCTGCAAAAAAACCGAAAAACAGGATATTGTAGAAGACGAAAAAACTAACGCATTGTTTGATTGTTTGGTAAAGCATATTGTACAGCTCTGGATACGACAGTATTAATTACCTCTGTATCTGAGTTTGTGCTAACATTAAGAGTCTCAATGCAGTAAGCACATTTACGCAGCAAAGCCCCAACTTTTAGGTACTCGTTCCATGGATGGCGAAAATTGAAGTTCCCATGTGCAGGCTCCCACCCAGCAAAATTAGCCTGTGGAGATGCAGAGTTAATACTTGAGTAAAATACTCGAAAATTAGACGAACTGTTGAAGTTTTAGCAAGAAATTTTTGTATGAATCAGAAATATACCATAGCTTCTTCAGCAGTCTTTGAATTAAGCACACATTTGTAACCTTGTAATACTTTGTCTGAATCTTCACCATTGGCATTTACATTTTCACTGATGCCGAAGTATTCTACGACACATCCTGAGGTTAACGAACATAACATATTATTATTTTCTATTTTTTAGTAAATCAACGTGTTATAATCATTGTTCATATGCGATTTTTCTTTTTTCCTGTCTTACCATTTAAAGAAGCAGCAATTTTTTCCATGTTGTTTGTGATAAGACAGTGAAGTTCATTTCCTGCCCATACAGGACAGAAAATCATGGTTATAATGATGCAAAGGGAGGTTCCTATGGCAATTGTAGATAATCTATGATGAGCCAGTTCGAACAATTTATCCACACGATAGCCCGATACTGACACAAAGCTAAAGGTGAGGATAAAGATCAGAGCTCCATAGTCGAATCGTGCTTTTATAGTTGGGATGAATCGAGAAAAGGTTGCGGCAGCAGCTGCAAGCAAAATAAATGATTTCTCAGTAACAGTTTAACTATAATATATAGATGTCCTTTAATTTTTCTACATATTTTCGTGTTCTGATGCCTGCGGGAATTAAAACTTACTGCAGATTATTCTCTGATTGGAAAAAACAAATGCTGAAAAGGACCAGACAAGAAAAATTCGACCTACCTAAGAGGAAAACCGATACTTGTAGAATTATGGGTTCGAATTTTTCTCCCGACTGATTTGCAATCCAATGAATGCCGAGTCCTAATGCTCCAGCCAATAAAGTTCCAGTAGCTCTATTCACACATTTACAGAGTGTAGCCCCTGCATTATCAAGGAAAAATAGTTAAAACCTTGTACTTCGTCATGTCCAATATAATCTAATACCGTGTGCCAAAAACATTTTGAATACTTACCCACAGTGTATTCAAATACGACAACTACAGTCATAACAGCCCACATGGCATTCCCTCCGACTCCATTATACAAAGGCCTCATGTAATAGAAGAGAGAGACGATAGAAAGAGCCATCCCTACTTTAAGGCCATGAATAGCTTTCTTAGGCTCTCTAACGGCTAAACTCCAAGCCTTTCCAAGAAACTTAGAAATTCTTGACACGAACACCACAATTAAACCTCGTAATCCATTGAAAACTCGGATTTGAGGCTTCGACTCTGGCACTAAAACTTTAGAAGTATTTTCATTCGGGACGTTAACCCTCCATTCCAATCCTCCAGACTGTTTGCTTTCCTTGACCATCTTTATGGAATCAGACAACTCAAAAACAACCTTGACTAGGTGAACTGCTAAGTAGTATGATTATTTATGCTAGGTAGCTTATGAAAGCAATAGCTGAATACAGTTGATGTGTTGTCTTATGCAGAATTCAATCACAATCAAAGTGTGTCTTTGGCTAGGTTGTTGTACATGATTAGTTTTTAGTCAAGCACATATATATATGGCCGTCTCAGGTTGCTTGGATTTTATAAAATATTTGTACATTCGGATGATCGTATTGTACAGGAAAGAAAGTATTTTTGGTAGGTAAGCTTGACCTCAAGATTTTGTATTTCTTTATGTCACCAATGGCTTTAATAAGAGATCAGATAGAGCATATACACATGACCTAAAATCCAACAGTGACATCTACATTACCTAAAACCATAACATCATTAGTTTGCCTCTTTCACAAGAATTCATATAATATCCAAGATCTCTCTCTCTCTCTCTCTCTCTCTCTCTCTCTCTCTCTCTATATATATATATATATATATATATATATATATCTTTGTGCGTATACACATACCACAAACTTTGGAGAAGCACTGTCTGCATATCAAATTATTTTAGAACTTTGATGGGGAGCTCGACCATAAAGCTATTTATGTTCTTCTTAAACCATAAGCCAAAGGGAAATATGATAACTTATTTATGATTTCATGATAATCAATTTGAATTAGATTACATTTACCTTTTGCAAGTGTTAAAGTCAAATAAAAAACTTAAATGAAGTATAAAATAAAATTTTGATGTAGTATAACATCACTCCACACTCCAATGCTTAATTATATGCCTAGCTAGATTTTGCTCAATGAATCAATAATGGGTTTGGTCTCGATCTCAGTTGGTGGTAGCCTTCTCAATGGTTGTTGTCTCATAGTCGATTTTGCGCTTGAGTTAGATTTTGTTAGGTTTTAGAGATATTAGCAATTTTTAAACAAAAACAAAGTTGTAAAAGAGTTTTAAAAGTCAAAGAGTCAAGTGGTAGGTTGTATATATGAGTTAGGAGTCCTTGGGCTCGTCTTTGGAACAAAGGAAAAAGTTGCTGGAATTATGCTAGCTTGTCCCCAAGCTGTTGCTCGAGCATCCAAAACAGTAGCATTGTCATTAGCCAGTCGCCTACCTATCACTCAAGTGGAGCACCTATCATTGGGCTCTCAAGCAATGGTGTTTCCTAGAAACCCTAATTCGTATTTTTCAGAAGTTTTATCTGTCACATACTATCCAAAACCTCTATATTATATACCCACGCCTCACTTAAAAAAAGGGTTGTGTTGAATATTGAGTTAAACAAGAAATCACTTCCTACGCGTCATATAAATAGTTCACTCCTCTTTTTATTTAACAATATCATTGAAAACATCAAATCCACATAATCCAACATGCCAAAATATATACTTTTCCTTAATCTGTTTGATTTCTAAAGATCAAGGAAGGTAACAGGAATTCGACTGAAGGAGAACGAGGAGTTTTCAGTGTCCATAGGAGATAGACAAATTCAGAAGGTTGGGAGTTGGTGCAAGTGCACTCAATCCAGGAGGGTTTTGGCGATTACAGTTAAGATGTTAGAAAGTACTAGAGTTAGTTGAGTCTGACAATATTGTAAGTTGATTTGTTTATAGTGGATTCTTATTGACTTGGGCTCAAAAAAATTTTTTTTTATCTCGTGAGGGGTTTTCTCCATTATCAATTTTCTAGTGTTATTTACTTTTCAGCAATTTACTAATTGGGGTAATTCAATATAGGATAATTTTGCATATGAATTTATCTGGATTAATTAATAACTGTGAGCCGCCGCTTTTATTAATTGATTAATTTAAATTCCACATAAAACACCTATTTACCCCCTCTTGATGTTAGTTGGGTTGAACTTCGTTATTTCAAGTGGTATCAGAGCCTCAATTCGATTCTTGACCTTATCTTAATCTAGATGAGTCAATCTCTTTTCGTGCTTTTATTTTTTGAAAGAGGCAATTATGCATATTAGAGGGATAGAATGAGAGCTTTTCTTAAGTCTTTAGATGAGCGGATTTGGTTTATTGTACAAAATGGTTGGACTATACTTTCTACTATTGTTTCAGGTGTAGTTACCCTATAGATATTACACTTTGGACCAAAGATGAACTAGCTGAGTGCAATTGGAATAGTAAAGGGCTTCATGCCCTATTTATGGTTGTGTCCGCATAAGAGTTTATGAGAGTATCAATGTGTGAAACCACAAAAGATATTTGGAATATTTTAGAGACCACACACGATGGAACCATAATTGTAAAGAACTCCAAGCTACAGATGTTAACCACTAGGTCTAAAGAAATTAGAACGAAGGACGATGAATTGGTCAATGAATTCTATGGGAAGCTAAATGACACAGTGAACTCTAGCTTCAAAATAGGTAGGAAAATTCTCAAGTCTATTGTTATGGAAGAAAGTAAGGACTTAGATATAGTTAAGATAGAAGAACTTGTAGGATGCCTCCAAACCTATGAACTCATCATATCTCAACTGAAGAAGACTATGCCAATAGCCTTGAACACCATTAATAAAAAGGGTGTGAGTCTACTAATATGGAGACCCTTAGGGATGATTAGATAGCTCATTTTGTTAAGAAATTCCAAAAAGTTCTCAGGAATAAGAAAAAACCTCAAGAGAGGAAGAAGGGTGCCCCAAGTAAATTCTAGAAAGACAAGCTTGATAAGACTAATGATAGGAGTTCTAGTAAGAAATCTTAGTCAATTAGATGCATGAGTTTTAGGGTTTTGGTCACTATAAAAATTAATGTCCTAGCTATAAGAAGAACCTGAATAAAGGAAAGGGTAAGATATTGATAGTGTCACTAATTGATAATGAATCCAATTCAAGTGATCAAAGTGATTCCTCTAGCAGTGAAGATGAAAGGAATTATTTGACATTCACGTCTATAGTTAAAAAAATGAATTGGATAAGCACAATGAAAAGATTGAGGATGGCGAATGTAGTGGGAACTCTCAAAAAGACTCTGAAGATGAGACAGAGATTTGTGAGGCATATCATCAATCATGTAAGAAGTCTTAGGATAAAGAATGTCAATAAAATCGTATTGAAGAAGGTTAATGAATTTAAGAGAGAGAGACTCACAGCTGACCTTTAGGATTCTACCAAAAGTCTTAGTGACATAAGACCTGTCAATGAGAACTTAGAAGCTAAGCTTAAAACTTTAACAAGTGACATAGAAAAATCCAATACTCAACTCCATTCTTTTTGGAGCGGTACTCAAAAACTTCATACTCTTTTAGGGATAAAGAAGCCAACTGGAATTAGGCAAAGTCTAGGATATGTTCAAACTAATCAAAATGCTGCTAGGACATCTAATGCAACTTTTATCCCATCCACCAACAAACTTAGGAATGTTGATGATCCTGAATCTAAGGGCAATGGTGCCTTAGGATAGAGGCCTACTAGACAATGTAGAATTAATTGACCTAAAACCAATATCAACAATCATGTAGTTTTAAACCTTGGTTTGTTCCTACTTGTCACAATTGTGGTGTACTGGGACATACATGGCCTATGTGTTATAATCTTGATAGACAGAGTCAAGATATCTTTAGCAAGATTAATTTCCTTACCAATCAGGTTAGCCACTTAACTGAAATGATAACCCTGTTGACTAAGATCACCTCAACTTCTAAGAAGATTTTGTTTAAGAAAAGTGATCTCTATATGTATGATGAACAAGTGAACTATTATGTTGCCCATGTTGCACTTAAAGCTCTAAATAACTCTTTGTGGTATCTTGATAGTGTATGTTCTCAACATATGTGTAGATATAAAATCTTGTTCTCTACTCTTGATGACTGCAATGATAGTATGGTTACTTTTGGAGATGGGGCTACTGTACTTATCCTTTGTTAAAAGTACTGTCAATATACTTGGATTACCTGCTATCTCAAATGTACTTTATGTGAAAGGTTTAATGTCTAACTTGTTAAGCATTAATCAAATATGTGATGTTGATTTTGAGGTTAGTTTTGTCCAGAAAATGTGTAATGTTTATGATCCTACTCATAACATTGTCCTCGAAGGTGTAAGGACTTCTGAGAATTGGTATGGAGTTCTTCGAAATTTCAACTATGCGTGTAGCAGTGCCAAGATTGATGTGACTTAACTTTGGCATCAAAGACTCGGATCATATGAACTATAAGAGTTTGTCTAAGTTGGCTAAAAAGAAACTTGTTAATGGTTTACAAACTTGAAAACATTATATGTGGACCGTGTTAACATGTTAAACAACTTCGAATAAATCATAAACAAACTACTAACATCTCGACAAACAGGTTTTTAAAATTACCCCATATGGACTTATTGGTGGTGAGCGCTACATTTTAATTGTGGTAGATGATTTCTCTAGGTATACATGGATTGAGTTGTTGAAACAAAAATCTGAGGTGCTCAGCCTCGTTAAATCCTTACAAAAGAGACTTATAAATGAGAAAAATTTCATCCTAACTAGAATCCGAAGTGATCACGAGAAAGAGTTTTAAAACTCTAACCTTGAGAACTTCTACATGTAGGAGGGAATCCAGTATGAGTTCTCTTTATCGTTCACTCCACAACAAAATAGAATAGTTGCAAGGAAAAATTGTGTGCTTCAAGAAATGGCAAAGGCCATGCTTCATGGAAAAGATCTAGCCATGCATTTTTGGGTGAAGCTATTAACACTGTTTGTCACATTGTGAACTGTGTTTACCTTAGATTGAAAACTGATAAGCCACCATATGAGAACTGGAAGGGTAAAAAACCTACTGTCAAATACTTTTGTATGTTTGGTAACAAGTGCTATATTTTGAGAGATAGGGAGAATTTGGGCAAGTTTGACTCTAAGAGTGATGATGGAACCTTTCTAAGATGTTCTAAGAATAATAGAGTCTATCGTATATACAATTTTTGTACACGAGTTGTGTGAAGTCCAAAAATATCGTGACAAATAATGCTTCTAACGAGGAAGAGATTGTAGGAGATTGGGCTGAGTTAGATCACTCGAATATAGATTTCGTCACAGTAACTAAACCTAAAGAAAAATCAATTCTTGAACCCCTCCACTCACCTAAAGGTAGCAGACTCCAACTTTCCTAGTGAACCATCTCCTAGC